AGGAGTCGCAGTGGCGTCGGCGGCTAGACGCCTTCCTGCGGATCGGAAGGTCATGGGTTCGCGTTCTGACAGAGCCAAACTTTTTTCAAAAATGACCTTGACTTCCAGGTCGACATAGCCTTGAGTGGGTATCAGGTGCAGTCCTGGCGAGTAAAGGCGGTTGGCGTGATGCTGACGACATCACCCACCTAGTGCTGATCGTTATTGTTAGTTGCGTATCCTTTACAGGACATTTAGAACCAAACCCATAATTTTTCTGGCTGTTGTGGTTTTTCTAGGCAGATTTACGTCAATTACTTTGCTATTGATTTTTTAGACGGTAGGCTTCTCGATGCCACTGTCGAAACCAACGTAAGGCGCAAGGCTCGCAGCTGGGATAAAACCGGCATTACGAAGCGCGTTTGCAACGCCTAAGGCACAGACGCCGATACGTGTCGATTGGTCTATACAAAAATAGGTATATTCCCAATACACCTAAAGGCGTGGAAAAAGGTTCTTTACTTTATAAAAACGTGCAGGTACTGCGTATCGTCAAAAGCAAAGCCATGGGTTTAACACTCAAACTAGTGTCTACTGTTACACAATATCTACTCATAGTCAATGTGTATTTTGAGGGGACAGTGCGAAAACCAGTGACTCGTGAGAGGTCTCGCGATTTTTGGTCTTCCATACAATTTTTATTGACAAAATTTCTCAGAGATCGACTGTGGCCATCTGCCATTTTGTCTCTCGGTCTGGCTTCCAGTTATACCGCTCATCTCTAAGGATATCCAGCGATCTCTGGTGTTTTCCTGACCAGAAACACTCGAGGTAACTCTCTGTTCTTAACGTAGCGTGTAACATTCTACTTTCTTTAGTTGTTCCTGTAATTACCCCTACAACCCCGTTATTTTTTATCCCCTGTCTCCGGCCTGTGTGATGCTGACCACGTCACCTGCCTTGGGGCTGCGTGGTCTCGGGCATGGTGTCCGCCTTGAGTGCTAGAAGTTCTAGGTTCAATCCCCCGTAATGGCTGGGATTTTTTCACCTGGACTTGGACTTCTAGTAATTCTCCCCGTCTCTGGGTAGTGAGATCTGAAGTCCGTGTGCATTGTTCCGCACAAAAAAAAAAAAAAAAATCCCTTGGCAGTTGGAAATCAAAAAGAGGAGACTAACTCCGCCTCCCGGGCAAAATTTTGAGTTCAAAATCTACCTGAAGTATTTCAGGATTCTAGCCGGTGTTACAGAGCCTGCGCACTGTGCTGAGCTTCTTTGGTCTTAGACTAAAGTTAGAAGAAGAACAGAGCACGTATGGGTTACAGCCGTGTGTCATGATGTTGATCCGTTGTTCAAAACCTAGAGAAAAAACTTGCCTTGTGCTATTGGTCTATAAAATATAGGTCTAGCCCTAAATAACAAATACGCCCAAAAGGCGTGGCAAAGGTTTCTGTTACTGTTTACTATATATCCAGTACGACTAATAGTGTGGAAGATCGTTCTTTACTTATACTTTTAAGCCCTTTGAGGGACTAGAAGGTTTTAGGTCTTGATTAATTGCGCTATAATAATATGTTTTATAATTATTTTTAGTAGTACTGCCCAATTAAACACGAATTAATCCCCCCTCCCCCCCCCCCCCCCCACATTTAAAAAATACTGGTGTAGGGGAGTGTCAGGACCCTCTTTTCCTCACCGCCCTTATGTTTTCTCCCTGCCGACAAGAACAATCTCGAAGTATCATCGAACCATACGGGAAGATTACGATGCCTGACAAATCAAGTGAATATTTTATCTGCCAAGAAAATCATAACGAGATGAAAGAATATTGCAGGGAGATGCTTTGTGAAGATGGAATCGCCAACTATAATTTAACTGAAGCTTCCAGCAATGCCGAGACGGATCCATATGCCGTGTCAAGGAGCCTACGCTTTCCGCGTGTGGTTTTCAGGTTCCCAGTTTGGGGAGAAAATAACTGAATCTACTGGCCCTCCCCACCCCTTTTTTCCCCCCGTTGATGGCGACTAATTAGGGTGTTTTCTTCGAAGTTTGAGAGGCGAGGAACCAACAGTCTGCATACAAATAAACCAGATATGTGAAGCCTATGTACTCTCCAAATTCAATTTCTTGAATAATACTAAAGTCCAGAAGCGGGCGAACAACCAGAACTAACTGCCACGGTTTACAGCCGGTGAACGCCACGAAGAAGAAGAAAAAAGGAGTCAAATGTTCGGATGTCTGTCCATCTTGTGAGTAAGGTCATTCTCTTCCCGCCATTTATCGAATAGTTCTCGAAAGAAGAGGTAGTTGTTTATATACATATGTGAAGAGGAAGAAGATACGAAGAAGAGGAGAAGAAGAAGGAAGACGATGGAGAATGAAGGAGGAGGAAGCAATAAAATTAAAATAAAATAAAATTGACGACAGAAAATAAAAAAGCAAATCAAAAGAAATACAAAATTGAGAAGAACTTCACAGAAGTACAATATGGAAAAGACATGAAGTAAACTGTAAGGGATGGTCAGGAATAGAAGCTACATCATTGACGAGGTTAATTGGACATCACCTATTGAGGCATATTAGATTGGGGGCTGTGGTTGGGGGTGGGAAGGTAAGGTCTCTTCATATTTTGCCTGTTTTGTTTGTTTTTATACTTGATGAAGTAAAGAAAGTAAAGGACCCTTTTCCACTCCTTCAAGAGTACTGGGTATATAGAGAAGAAAGAAACAGTTATTAGACAGCGTTAACTTCTGATTTAAGAATCCACACTATAACACGCCGAACATACAGAGATGCTCCGTCTTCCGCAGCAAAAGTCTTTAGGTGTAAATACAAACCGTTCCTCGTTGAACGTCAAGCATACACTCGTGGTGCTCTTCCTCTCATAAGTTCCCCAACTCAACCTCCTTCCCCATTTTTTGACCACTTCTTATTCCAGGTTCACATAGTCTTACAAATAGTTATGTCATCTAACCTTGTGTCTGTTGGCATTATTCGTTCAAAAATGGTCTTCCGAATGTCTTCTTTGTCTAGTAAAAGTGCAGATTTCAGTTTTGTAGCTATAAACTGTTCTTTTATTTCTTTGAACACCTATACACCTGGACAGTAACTAATTTCTCTTTAGGTCAGGTCTTGGTCAGATATGAATGAGCTACCGTATAACAGTAGCCGGTACCACCTGTCTTCTGTTAGCCGAATGTTGGGCGGCGTATACTAACTCAACATCCCATATTGTGCCAACGGCTTCGGGCGGAGGAGCTCATTGGGGAGGATACTAGCCTTATCCTAGGAAGAGGAAATGCAACCTGAAAACTTTGTGTTATGACAGGATAGACCAGGCCCTTCGCCTTGGCTGGCAGCTGGTGTAGGAAGGAAGCTCCGACAGGCGGACAGATAGAGCACTGCTCTCTGATCCGGCAGCTTCTGCACACTGCCTAGTTCCAAACCTACTGGTTTTACCTTTCCTTTGTAGAAAACAAGGCAGGTCTAGGAAGGGATCAATATGCATGGGCAACATATGGTCTCTACAATTCTGTCCAGGCTTTCTGCTATGGAGAGGAGGAATACAAGAGATTCCTATCCTATTATTGTGGAAGACTTTTCTTGACATGGGCGGGTCTTGCTAGTCACACTCGCCATCGCCATGGGCTGTGGGTCTCATGCCTCCTCACAGCCCAATATAACACTATCGTCTAGAAAGACGGATAGGTGCCAATGAATGAACTTATTTCTCTGTAGCTGCCTTTTCCCATGTTATTTCAATGGAAAATTGAAATTATTTTGATTTCCTAATTAATATTGACGTTGAAAAAAAGACGGGAAGAAGAAAGTTTTATTAAAGGGATATAACTGCACATTTCACATGATCCTCTAAAAGTAAGGTCCCTTCATATTTTGCCTGTTTTGTTTGTTTTTATACTTGATGAAGTAAAGAAAGTAAAGGACCCTTTTCCACTCCTTCAAGCGTATTGGATATAAAGAGCTAGATCTATTTTATAGACCTTACGGCACTTAGTAGGTTATATTGTCAGCAGCACGCCGACCGCCTTTACTTCCTTGTACCATACCTGGTACCCACTCAAAGCCGGGTCGATCTGGAAGCCAAGGTCATTTTATGAAAAAAAAAAAAAAAACGCGACTTTTTTAAACGGACTATATCTGGTGCGATTTTCAGAAACGTATTCACGGCGTCTGATACAATTACAACATGCGTGTTCTGCCCATGCGTCTTACAGGACTCCGTATGTCTTCGGTAATTTCATCATCATCATCACCATGTGCTGCGTCGATAGGCGTAGGCTGCCATGCTTTAAAGGAAAGGGTGGGGTGGGGGGGGGGGGTGAAGGAGAACAGATAAAATTGTAATCATATGGCAGCTAGCACATCATTATAAGAACTCGGCGATGGCTACTATAGAAAGGGCCGCAGCGCATATGGTAATGTACGATTTCAGGGATGCACTATTTTTTTTATTTATTTGTGGTACTTTAGTAAACGTTATAGATGCCTTAATTATACTGTTAATAAAAAGGAATGCATAGTTATTCGATGGCGTTTTACTTCTAAAAAGGAAAAAAAAAAAAAAACTAAAAAAACAAACAAACAAAACACACACAAAGAAGGAAAGACAAGACCCAAACGCATTGCTGCTGAAAAGAACCTAATTTAGTCATTCAAAATCTTTATAATAGATGAAATTATTTAAAGTGCACATAAGAATACTGTAGTGTTCAACAAATATGTAAACAGTTTTTTTTTTTGCATCTGAGTCATCGATAGTTTTTGCTTTCCCGTCAACTAATGTGAGCTTGGCAGTGCGAGACACAACAGCAAGATTCTCTTGTAGGACTGACATCCTGTACACGTGTCATCGAGCTTCTGGTATGTTAGACGTTTCGATGGCAGCGCAGAAATGAATACAAGTGCAACAGATATTTCTCCAGTCTCTGCTTTGTGCTGGCAAAGCATCCCATCAAGAAATCTCTAGATGGTTATTTCTAAACGCTGACGTGTCTTACACCATGTTAAACAGATATCTCCGATTTGTCAGGTAGGTTAGGTTGAACAGTTCTCTCATATTTTTTAGGTCTAATAGGTTGACCCACCATCTCAGACCGTACAGTTTTGTTAGGTTGAACAAACATCGCAGAGTTTCTAGATCTCAGAGGTTGATCAAACATCTCAGGCTGTCTAGGTCTCAGAGGTTTAACAAACATTTCAGATTGGCTAGATTTGTGAGGTTTAACAATCATCTCAAACTGTCCAAATCCATAAGGTCGAACAAGCATCTCCGATTTTCTAAGTCGTTTTTGAAGCGCAGACGTCGGTGATTTTCCAGGTTTATAAAGCCCTAGGATACCTTTTTCAAAACTTCTCTTCATTACTCGCTGCGCTCTTCGTTGCAATGTACGTTGCGATGTCCAGTGCAATGCCCGTGCACGCACCTCACTTATGATGGTGCTCGAAGGTGTATTTTCCCCACTCGGCATCTTAGCCCAGTCCTCAATATCTGCCGTTCCAAAGACCATGAAAATAACGCAGCCGATCACGTCAATGGCAGCGATGAGAAATAATATCATTCTCCAGTGGCTATGGTGTGTCTGTTGGGGAAAAATGATAGCGAAAATGTTACCTTACAATATTTAGCATTTAAACTGCCTACATTATAACTGTTTCATCTTTTGTGTTTAACATTACAAAGACGACTGGCATTTTGCCTTATGGCTTACAGCTAGGCTGCGGAGTGTACGCCTTTCGGTAAAAGACATATGAATTCAGTAAACTTTTAGTAAGTAGCTTTTTGCGACAATGTTTGTTATTGGCAGATATATTCCACACACTGATCGACTTGGGATTCCAGAACCTCGCGGGGAAATTCTACTGTTCACAGAAAAAGAAACGCATAGCTATAATATGGCGCGTTTTCATTAGTGGTTTTCAGATTAAAAGGGATTCATTTATTTGCTTCATTTATACATTTGTTATTGTAGTGTGCACCTGAGGTGATAGAGCAAAATATGCCAAACAATAAATTTTGCCAGCTATTGTGTGTCTTCTTTGTTAAAATATACGGAATAAGTCTAGCTTAACTCACATTCTGCCGCTGAGGTGAGAAGTGTTACCTTGTAACATATACCAGTCGGGAGCTTAATGGGTCTTTTATTTTTCAGACGCGGATTTCCTTCACCCAGAGGCTGAAGACAACTAGTAAATGCAGGAAACAATAGAATGGAATGGTCAGGCCATCACATAGTGCTTTTGAATGTTAAAATTAAAGATAAAGACAGGCTGAAATGTAGAGGTTCGGCTTCATTGCATCGGTTGTTATCCGGTATGTCTTGGTCCCTCTCCTCAGAATGGTCAACTACTTGTCGAAAGCGTAGCACAAATCACGAGTTGCTTAGTCCCAGCCAAGATCGCCACTGTTACCTTATTTTTTTTAATGCACGCATAAAGCGAACGTCGCAGTAAGTTAAATAAACCATCGACCTTTAAAGCGCGAGGTAAAGGACTTGACCATTTTATCACAGAGACAACGTAGTAAAACAATACAACGGGTATATTCTTCCACACTCCCCATCCCGGAGGGCTACAAAATAAAAGTATCTTTGTCAGGTGTATTTTTAAGAAATTATCTTTGTTTTCCATGTGTGTAATCGATGCTGAAAACATGTTCTAACCGCCTCAATTATCTGTGTATACATACAATCAAATGTTTCTCTTGAAAATCGCTCTATTTTCACTTTAGGTTCGTCAACACCTAGAGGACTTACCTGCCAACACAGTTTCATCTAAAGTCCTAGGGGATTGAACTACCCACATAATTTTATCTAAAACCCTCCAGTTACAGCCTCTGGAATTTACAGGAAGTATTTATTCTTCTGTCCCACGTGTCTCTTTAGTCTACTGACAAGACATAGACCTACCTGCTTCAAGATACTAAGCTAAGTAATTTTGTGTATTTGTTTGGTATTGTTTGATTTATGTATGTGCTTATGAAGGCTACATAGCCGCAACGTTCACGTTGTGCTTATTTTCGTTATTTTGTTAAGCTTACTGATATATGTTTCGTTCGGTTTTATCTTTTCTTGGTATTCTTAGTATACCATAGACCAGGAAAAGAAAAAGAAAACAGCATGCAAGATCTAAGCATTAGGAAGAATTGGTTCATAAACAGCATTCTGTCCCATTCTCTCTCTCTCTCTCTCTCTCTCTCTCTCTCTCTCTCTCTCTCTCTCCCTCTCTCTCTCTCTCTCCCTCTCTCTCTCTCTCTCTCTCCACTTCCTCTTTTACCGCAGTGGGTATCGAGGGAGATATAAGGTTCTGTTTCTGGCTCTTCTGGCCGCCTCGACCATAGGCACATCGTGCTGTTGTAGAGCTTCTCTGATGTTATCCTTCCATCTTGTTCTTAGTCTACCTCTTGCTCTACGACCTTCTTCTCTTTCCATGTATGCTTTGTATGGTATGGTGTCACAAGGCCTTCTCTCTAAGTGGGCAAACCATTTCACTTGCTGTCTTTGTATGTAATTTAGAATTGGTTCTGTGCCAACATTTTCTCTTATAATCTCATTCCTGATCTTATCTCTTATGGTCACTCCTACAGCCCTTCTCAGACATCTCATTTCCATTTTTACTAATTTTCTTGTATGGTTTGTTGTGAGTGACCATGTCTGGCACTGGTAGCCAGTCCCATTGGCTGAAGTATTTTGGTCATGTTAAATCATGGTTTCTTGGAGAGAGCGGTGGTGGAGGGTAAGGTTTCCGGAAAACGAGACAGAGGCAAACCTCTGCGAATGTGGATACAGTAAACTTGAGATGTATACACGAAATTCAAGATGCGCTGGCTATGAAAGCATTTAGGGCTGGACATTTGGTTAGATATATAGAGACTTCCGGGGGTGATGTGAGGAGAGCGACGTTCTGTAAAGAATTTGCTGAATAATAATGCAAAAAAAGGACATCTTTCTAAAGCATAAAGCATTTTGAGAACATGACTTTAGACTATAGGCTCATTCGGCAGTTGAAAAGTGATGTAACCATTCTCACTCTGATGGCCAATACTATAAGAAAATTTCCTGGCACCTATTTGAGAAAGGGTCATTTCAAAAATCCAGGTAAGAAAATTCACATCCTCGCTTCAACGACCACCAGTCACGCTTGCTTGCTCTATGGTGGGTCCAAATATGTTTACTGTATGCATTAAATGCATGTGTTTGCAAATGGCTAGTATTCACAATAAAATGTAACGCTAGTCAGAAAAGTATTTATCACGTATCCTTTACAGGACATTACAGAACCAACCCTAGCATTTTTTGCCTGTTGTGGTTTTTCTAGGCAAATTTACGTCTAGTAGTTTTTATTACAGTAGCGCTGGGAAAATAATTATGCCTAAAATTGGTACCAGAACTGCTACGGTATTATGGATGCACTCAGTTATTAGACATGAGCTCTAGGTTTGGAAGAGTTAAAAAAAAAAAACCTGTTGACCGACCCTCTAACACTTACCACGTACACAATAGATTTTATCAAAGCAGAGGCTATGATTACAGAAACAGTTGAGAAAGTACTTGACATTCCGTACATGACTGCTGCATGGGATGGGGCGATGTCGGCAAAGTTATTTAAGTAGCCACATCCAAACTGTAATCCAATTAAGGCGACGGCTGTCATCAAAAGGACCGTAGCTTCAAAACGGCGAGTGCAGTCAAGAAAACCACAATAGATAATCACAACAGCTGGAATCAGCGTTGCTAAAAGTGAAAGTATAGGTACAAAGAACCAGCGTTAATTAAAACAAATAAACAGGTAGGTGTGAGGAACAAGTATTTCTAAAAACAAATTACACCAACTAATAAAAGATTTTAACAAGTATTACTGGCGGGTGGGGGGGGGGGGGAGCAACGTTAGATATTAAGAACCAGTATTGATTGTAACAAGAACACAGTAAAGTAAATGTCCCTTCATACACCAGTGGCTCATTGCGCATATGAGGCTAATAATAATAATAATAATAATAATAATAATAATAATAATAATAATAATAATAATAATAATAATAAGAAGAAGAAGAAGAAGAAGAAGAAGAAGAAGAAGAAGAAGAAAAAGAAGAAGAAGAAGAAGAAAAAGAAGTACTATATTTTTTGCTTACCCCATGACGTCATGATGACGTCACGGGAGACAAATAATTTCCAGGGTGGGAAGGTGGGATTTTTGCAATTTCCATTAGTGCGTCGCAAAAGAGGCGATGTGTGTTTGCCGCATCTTGTTGCAGCAGCAGTCTTCATTAATCGGTGTTTGCCGCCGCGTCTGTCTTGTTGTTCCAGCAGTCGCCATGAAATTCCTCCAATTAGTAGCATCTGTACCTGACAAGGAGACTAACATTGCTTTACTGCAACACCACGGAACGAGACGTTGTGGAAACAACCATAAGTCGGTGTTATCGCGTTCGGAAAGATACATGACCGTTGGCGGTGTCGAAAATCCACGTGTTGTTTGGACATAGCAGTACGGCAAGGGTCATGGCTGAAAGGGTCGCCACTTAGACGCATAAAAACATGGTTTTTGACAAATTCTTGAAAAGAAATTTGGCTCTAAAGAAGTGTTCATCTTCCTGCTGTTGATGTTTGGCTCTTTTGATTAATGAGTTTGCCGACCACTGGCCTAGTGAAACCCCGTCTCCCTGGGGCTGCAACATGACACGAGCGCTGAGGATATGGATCTTAGTTATACTAAGCGCCACTCTCCCTTGTGACTTTATTACGAAGGCGCCCATTTGAACAAACATAGTATACGCAATGATACCAATCAAATCTCCACAAATATAGTCATACCTAAAGAAACGCCTGCCTTTCTTTGAAAAGTAGTAGAACACATCTCCTGTGTCAAAAAGAAGTCGTATACGATTCCAGAAGTTACGCTAGTCATAAAAAAACCAATGTAAGACAGGGCTGAGATTGCACGAACCTGCAGGTCAAATGAGTACAAATGAAACAGTAATTTTGATTAGGAAAGTTCACATACTTACTCAGATTTCCCATACTTACTCGCTGATTCCATTAGGCCAATGCCTGTCCCCCACTACTACCCACACAAATTAAAATAAATACATATCAAGCATTTCTTCACTCCAGCAGAGCATCAGTACATTTGTATAGACCAATCGACACCAAGGGATCACTGTGGTGAAGCGACTAGACGCTCGTCTGCGCACCAGGATGTCATTCAGGTGCTGACGAAGCTAAACCGTTTTACAGTAGGGTGACCCAGGCCTGAATGGGTACCAGGTACAGTCCTGGGAAGTAAAGGCGGTCGGTCGGCTTGGTGTGGAGAAGATCACCCACCGTGATACACGAGGGGATATGGATTACACGATAGCTTTCATAAAGGCTACCGGCCTCCTGATGTAAGTTTTCTGACAGAGGGATCGAAGAAGAAGAAGAAGAAGACCCACTGAGTGCCGACTGGTATATAAAATATAAGTCTAGCCTTATATGCCCAATACGCCTGAAAGCGTGAAAAAGGGGCCCTTCCCCTTACTGACTAAATGAGTACTATGTAGGTAAGATGGTAAACATAACACCGGCCGATGTAACTACACACGGGGATTAAAGTCTCGGTTTCCTTCAAAATTGATTTATTTGGTATTGTTTAGCTCTGCAAAGTTAAATGCTTGTTACTGTATACTCAGCCGGGATCACAAAATAAAATCCTCACCTGCACAGTCGTGACAACAGCAATAGCCATGCGGCAGTAAATTCTCCAGGCTCAGACCCCACATCACCCCTCCCTGTCTACACCACAAAAGGGGTGTAATAAATGCAGTCATTGACAGTTTATTGTATCCTCAAAATATCTAAGTACTTTTATAGGCTCAGGTCCCTGGAAAAAAAAAATATGGGGGTAAGAAGGACAGCACCCTCCCCGCCCAGTAAGTTTGAAAGGGGACAGAGGCTTACGTCAACCGTGCACATACATTTTATTTTTAAAAATAATTGTTTTTACATTTCACGGTATTTTAATATATTATTACACTTATGTGTCACTTAGCACATTAAAAATAAAAATAGAAAAAAATGACAATAGTAATAATAATAATGTGCTGATATCATTGCTACTATGTCGATATGTAGGTGTTTTACACACACACACACACACACACACACACACACACACACACGCACGCATGCACGCACGCACGCAGGCAGGCAGGCAGGCACGCACGCACGCATATATATATGTATATATATATATATATATTTATATATATATATATATATATATATATATATATATATATATATGCGTTTCAACAAACGGAGTGCACTATACATAAACATATAGTTCTATTTATCAGACCTTGTTAGTGTCAAAATACTCAGCTTGATGTAGATATATGTCTATGAATATTATCAGGGCATACAGGGTAAATTCAGAACACACGTGAACAGCCACCAGTGCCCAGTAAGGAGAGCTTGTCAGTATTGATTTCCAAGGTGCTCGGTAGTCTTCCTTAGTGAAATAAAATAGTGTTTAACATCGGAGTTGTTGACGTTAAAATAGAAGTAACAGAAAGGCGAGTATATGCACACTATAAACAGTTAAATCCCAGTTTCGTAATGAATGAGTCAATCAATAACTGGCATAACTGCCCTCGGTTATTCCCACATGTGCTCTGTCCCCTTCTTTAGTAGCCAACGTAGAGTTGGCATGCTAATAGAACCAGCTGCAGCCTGATAACAAAGTCTGCTTGTTTCCCCTTTCCCAAAATGGGTTCTATCATATCCTTTGATGGTGGAGGGGAGGGGTGGAACTGAACTGGGCCTGTCCATGTTAGGTATGGGTGAGTAGCCACGAGTGCGAATGTTCGAACTGGGGACGCTTGATCGGTCTAGGTGGCAGTGATAGCCTTGTATTTATTTGTTAAGAGTGGAATAGACATAAGGAGTCTGTGAACATACAAATCAAGGAAAAGAGAAAACTTTTATTTCGAAAACTAACTGGGATCTGTTTTATCTGTTGTATAACTCGAAGAGCTCAACCACAGTCAGTGGCGTCAACACTTGCCATGCGGCTCTACATCCTCAGGCTCAAAGACCCCACCCCCTCCTTTTACCCCCTTGCCTACACGGCAAATGTGATACATACAGGCAGTAAATGGGAAATGTTGACCGTTAGAAACGGTAAAGAAGTTAACAGTTACTGTTACACTCCTTCCCACTAGTTTACAATATGGATTCAAGCCGTGTAATGTAATGAGAAAGGTCAAGACTAGTATTAAGACATCGTCATCATCATCATCCTTTGCGCTGCCAGTCGCTAATGTCTCTCCACAAATCTCGGTCTAGAGCAGTGATTCCAAAACTGTGCGCCGCGGAGCCCCTCGGAGCCGCGACCTCTTCAGAGGGGCGGCGAGAAATATTCGAAGACACACAACTTTTTTTTTTTTTTTTTTTTTGGTAATTAAAAAAAAAATTGTTCACAGACTTATATTCATACTTTTTCTTTTAAGGGTAAAAGTGCCATTGAAAATCTTTACCTGAAAAAAAAAAAAAAGGCGCCGCGACTAAGAAAAGTTCAGGAAACACTAATCTAGGGTATTTTGAGTAAATTCCACTAAGAATATTGCCCCACCCATAGCTTCAGGCCATGAATCGTCTTTTCTCTAGGTTTACCTCTTCTTCGTCAACCGTTGAAATATATCCACTTCACGCAATGTTCCCCAACGCTTCCCTTTTCATTACAAGTCAGAGAGCACTGACTGCCTTTGACTTACAGTTATACATACGAAATCGGTAACGGGTCATGTCCGGTGACTTCTTCTTCTGCATTTACCCTTGCCAGGTTGGCTTTAACATTGGGTTATGGTTTAAAGCTAGGCTGTGACATCTATGGGGTTACGGCCTAACATGCGATTACAGTTAATTCTTAAACAATCGCCTTTACAACATGTTTGATAAGAAGCAGCGGATCTTTTAATTTTTCATTAATGTAATTGGGCCCCGAACCACAGGGCGAAATTCTAGTAATTTTGAGAACTTGAGCATTCAGAAGGTACCGTTCTCATCTCAGTGTCAAGAGACTGGGCTTTTTATTATCCACGCCCAAAGCTAC